TTTCTTCTTTTTTTTCTTTTTTTTTNTTTTTTCTTACGACAGTTCTTCTGGCTATAAATTTACATTGCAGCTTTTTTGTCTGCTTCCTTTAATATCCTTTTCCAATAAATTTTGTCAATAGAGACATGGATTTGGAAGATTAATCCACTGAAAATGTTCGGCAACTATAAGGATATCAAATATAAGTAAGCAGCTTTACTGTCCTTACTAATCTCAGTCGGGATAGATTTTCTCAAAGGTTTAAAATCCGGGGCCTGTGTTAGATCCATATCTAGCAATCTCCTGGTATTGATAGCTCAAAAACAATGTCAAAACTATTCATTGCCAGTATCCAACGAATAAGTAAAAAATAAGTTATATATTTAGTTTGTAGGGGTGTCATTTAAAAAAAGGCCAATATACTTTTAGTTTTATAGAGGTCCAAGAGATTAATCTTACCGGACACACGCGTCAAATGGCGGGAAAACGTGACGTCAGTCTGGAAATTGGCGGGAAAAAGGACTAATCTTTTTTCTATATATTAAGAGGCCAGAACGAAATAAATCAAAGGAAAAAGATAAAGTACTAAAAAAGCGCTTCATATAAATTCTTTTAAGTTAATAGACCTCTTTAGCTTGGGCATAATGTTTTTCATTTCAGACCCCATGTCATTCTCTTGAGAATACTTCTCATGCACAAAGAAATAATGCTTTAGGGAATGACACGTGGTATGAAATCATAGAAAAATATTATTAAAATATTATTAAAATATTATTAAAATAAATAAAAAAATATTTTTAAAAAATGAAATAAAATATTATAAAAAATATTCTTTTAAAAATATTATAAAATATTATATAAATATTATGCCCAAGTTAGAGGTCTATTAAATGGTAGATATTTTTTTAATGTTATTGTTTTATTATTGTGGATTACGGTTTCCCGGCTTTTAAAAAAACCGAAAATTTCTATTCCCACTCTTACCTAAAATTGCAAGTTTAACTGAGGGCTTGGAAGTATTGGCTTGTTAGCTGTCGGTTTGGAAGTCGTGTGGAGTAAGCTAATTGAAAGCTAATTTTTTCTTCTTTTTGACAAATTAAAAACAACCATTGAGCTGCGATCTCGATATGAGCGTATTCTGTCAGAACATATGTGTTCGATTTAGGTTTGCTGTGACAAAATGATCCGATATATTGTACATAACAATGTCTACTGGCCTATATTGAGTAAAAACGTTGCGTCTGTGAACTTTAAGCTGACAAATTCTTCCTTTAAGAGACTGGTTGTCAACACTTCTATCCAAAATCAATATATATGCAGTGAACTTCAATGCTGGTCGCTGTGTTTTTCATTCTTGAGTGCTACTGAAGATTTCACGACCCTTCTAAAACCTAATACAATGATTAAGAAAATCTTAAGTCTCTCTTCAGATGTGAAGTATGGTATCAATGACCATTCGTGTTTCATAAAACAACGACGACAGTTCATTTGTCTTGATCTTGTCTCTCTTACTTGGATTCGTAAGAGCCTTGCCAAGCCTCACAGCACCGGCTAATCAACTAGTTTTCAAAACGAAAAGCTTTTAGGGTCGTTTCGATGTCAGCTATCATTTCAAAAGATTCAAATTTGCAATCTATCATGGTATTTACCTGACTCTAGTTATTTTTAGAGAGAGTTAAATATTGAGCATCAAAAACACACTTGAAGTATACGGCTAGAAACTAGATAAATCATAGTTATTAACTATGGATAAATAGACATTTATCAAACTGAACAGACCATAAGATATTGGCAATTTATATTGCTGTTGAAGAATTTTAGGCGTTTTTTATAAATGAAAAACGAAAATAACTATGACTCAGTCAAGGTTCGTTCATTCCCTTCAAAAATAAAGAAGTCTTTCTCTTAGCCTTGTAGCTCTTCAATACAGTCAAGAAAATATATTACGTTTTCATCAATGACATTAACAAAGGGCAACAACGATAAGTTAAGTTTCCAAAGACCGGATTTTTTGCTGGATTTTTTATCCCTAGACATAAGAATTCTGTGGGAATTTAGCAGATATCGACTGTCGCAAAGATAAAATTACATTTATATTAAATTTTTATTAAATAAATATACTATTTATGTTTTTCCTAAAAAAATTTTTTTTTGGTGGCTTCCTATCTAAGGAGACCTATTTTCCTACGTGTTCACGATTAATTTTTTCACTCTTTAAAATACTGTTTTATTTTCTAATAACACAGGATTTAAATACGTCCTGTATTAAAGAAAGAAGCTAAGATAATCATCCTGAATTGGATTCTAAAACTCCTCTTTAAAGCACTTGTATTTATTGGAAAAGACGGTTTAATAAACCGTACCAAAAGCCACAGTCTCATTAACTGTATATATATCTTTAGTTACAAGTTCCTGAAGCGGACAACAAGAGAATTTTGTTTCGTCTTCCTTGATAAGTTTTTGACGTAAATCCTTTAAGTATATTATCGAAAAAACAAAATTTAACAAAAATAATTAAAAGTTAGTCGGTTTGAGGTCGTTCTACTTACTTTAAAAATAGAATTTTAGAACATTCCTAACAAATGAAAAGATTGCAATTTGTTCGAAGATTGTATTATTTTTTTCTTCATTTTTTTTTAAATATTAAGAGATGTTTAAGAATCTTTCTTTGGCATATCTCTTCGCTTCCTTCTTTTCTTTCGTTCTTTCTTTTTTTCTTAAAAAATTAACTAACGTCATTACAAAAGCAAAGTTCGTTAAAAACGATAAATAAACAAGTTTAAGTTGTATCAATATTCATGTGCCTTCATACTTTTGCGAATGACATGTGGTTTAAAAATGGGGAAACATCACACCTACGGTAAAGGAGGATCCAGGGCTATTCCAAGTGTCTTTGATTCTTTATTATTGTTTTCTTTGGTTTCAACCGGTTTACGAGCGTCGTTTCGTAAAGGAATTGCTTCTATTAGCATTTGATGAAGACATGTTCGACTAATTTAGCAAATAAAAGTAGCCAGTCATAGAATCTGTAATGAACCTGAAAAAACTTCAAAAATACCCAAGTATTTTGACTAGTATCTCTGAATTTCTTGAAGAATCTAGAAAATAGACAACGCTAAAAGGCAAGACATACGCTCTACTCAAGTACAATTGATTTCTGCAATTTCGAAAATATCAATTTTAGCTGTTTAAATGGAAAATGCTATATCTCACTAGCAATGCATGATGGGATAACCCAGGGGCATTTAAATCCAGCGACATATAAAGAGAGAATTCTTTTCGTATTCAGGCAGTGAACGCCAAAAACTATTTTCTTGAAGAAAGGCTGTGGTACAAGGCTAAAATCTTGTTATGAACCGATGAAGTGGAATCAAAGTGTTAATCCAAAGCAAAAATTTTATTCGAAAATGAGTGTTAACCCAAAACTCAAACGAATGTCTATTTTTTGGCGCTTTTTGCCATTATTGCTCATTGTTGAAAAAAAAATGTCCTCTTAATGCAAATGAGAACGTGACAAACATCCTTGATTTCAAAACAAAACCCTCCACTAATTTCCAGTTTTACTAAAGTTATTATAGCTGCTCGCTTTACAAACATCATTTCCTAAACACTTAATCTTAAGATCCTTATACATGAAGATCGGGAATCAAATACTAAAAGGCATCAAATGAAACTTTTACAACCAATACCAGAAACGCTTCCGTTTCGAATTGCAGTTTGAAAGACGTGCTGGTATTACAGCACGTTCGACGATAAACATGTAATAAAACCGCTCCATTTTTTTCAATTGAAAAAAAATAAATTGCGAGTTAGAAAGAGGATTTTAACGGCCTCACTGAGTCTGATATTGATTTGTTACTATTATTTTTGCGGAAAATATTCATTATAGCATCCGGGACTAAGCACAGTTCCAGTAAAGGTCCTTGGAAAATCATTAAAATAGCGCTTCAACTAGAGAAGGGCATTAAAAAAGATCAAGTCTTAATCTTAAAATTATTCGATATTGTTTTTCCATTAAAACCAAAATCGACCAAATAACTAACAAACTTTATTACATGTTAAGTTGAAGTCAAAATTCAAAGTCCCTCTTCATCCCATTTGAATCGAAGTTCGAAAATTGATAAAGTTTATTAGCGATCGGTCGTTGTCACATGTTTAGTTGAAGTCAAAATTCTAAGTCCCTTCTTCATCCCATTTGACTCGAAGTTCGTTGTCACATTTAAGTTGAAGTCAAAATTCAAAGTCCCCTCTTCATCCCATTTGACTCGAAATTCGGCGCATCAAGCTTCACCTTTGATCTTGCGCATAATATAAGTTTGCTTCTCAAAATGTTTAGTTAAATTTGTGAAAAATCTTTAAGTAAAAGTTTACAATCGAACTTGATACGAAGTCAAGCTATCTCATGATAAGGTATTTGTTATATAATAATAGAATTCTCGGGTTTTTTATCACTATTTTACTAGTATAGACGTGCTAACTAAGTAGTACTTAAAAACGAATCAAATATCGATGAATCACGGACCTTTTTCGCTCCCTTTGAAGCGGGTTGCTACTTTAGTCTTACGGTTTAGTCTTACGCCAAAAAGGTATGAATCATAATGAATCGGTGAAACTTTTTCGCACGTAGTTAAACATATGGCGATCGATGTACCAGTAGAAGTATATCAAATACCAGTATTTAGAGTGCACGCACCAAAATATACGTCAATCATATCTCTAATACTTCTATTATTATTATTATTTTATCATTATTATTTTGTATTATTTTATTTTTTTATCCGATTATTTATTATTATTATTTTATCCTATTTTTTCCATTTTTCATTTGTACAATCGATGTACTAGATCAAGTATATCAAATAAACGTATTTAGAGTGTGCAAAATTTAATTATCTCTAGCACTTTTAGAAACATTTTTTGCACGAGATCATACTTGTATGTACTAGATCAAGTATATCATATGCCAGAATTTTAGTGTGCGCAACAGTGTAACATGCGTGGATGATCTAGATATCACTTACCTCAAGGTTCCACTGAATAAACAAGCCACAAAGAGCCCAGCAATACCCTGAATGTCACCCAACACATGCATCACAAAAAAGGGCAAAATCTAAAATAAAATAAAAAACATTGTCTTTATGTATTTCTGCACCCAAGAAAGATGGTTAGGGCCTGTACTTATAGTTATTTAAAAAATTTTTGTTTGTAAATATGAATGTAATATTAGGTACAATAAAACGTTGTTGTTGTTGTTGTGGTTGTTGTTGTTGTTGTTGTATTATCAAACCAGACATCATCAAAATCAGATGCATTGAACCCTGAAGCGACTTCTGGGCTGGTATAAGTCAGAGCATGGTTAATTCACAGATCAAACCCTGAAACAACCTCTGGGCTGATCAAAGTCAGGGCATGGCTAACTCACAGGTCGAACCTTTAAACAACCTCTGG